CTCCTGTCAGAGGAAATGGCGCCCAAGCCTCTCACGAGCTGGGAGCGTTCGTCGCCTGCCGGGGAGCGTCCCCTCTGCGCCGTGCGCCAGCCGGGGCGGTCTCCAGCGGCCTCTGCAGCCCGGCCGAGCTCTGACGCCGTCCGCCGTCGGAGGACGTAACTGTACGTGCGCGCGTGGTACCAGCCTGTAGGGGCGTGAATGTTGAAATCTGTGTAAAATTCTGAATGCTTAAAGGCGTGTCTGCACAGCTAAGTTCAAATAACCACCGGGAAACTGGAAAAAGAAAAGTCACTGTTGTACGGTTATGCTTTGTGGGGTTTTTGGATTGCCTCCGATCTCATCCTCCAAGCCATAAATGCCATTTTATCAACTTGTCACGGTTTCAGTTCTTAATACTTTAGTTCTGTTGGGAATGCAGTTGTACTGATGGCTGGGAAGGGAACTGCACCCAACTTTGGTGTCCTTAGCTTATAGTCGTACCAGTATATGTATACATATACATACACACACGTACCACACGTGCATATACACATCTTCCATTCCTGAGAGACCGAGGCTAGAATGGCTGTTTAAGGTTGCCTGAGAGGTTGTACTCGGAGAAGTGCTTCAGCGCGTAGCTCAGCAGGACGGCGTCAACCTTGCAATGGGTGTGGATCAGTCTGACAGAACAGAATCTGGGACTCGAGGAAATGTAGCTTATCAAGTAGATATTTCAAGTAGATATCAAGTAGATTTTCAAGATATCAAGTAGATATTTCAAGACTAAAAAACTCTGCAGATTTTGGGAGGAACTTCTTTCAGATTTTGTTTTTTTAACACAGAATCTTGTTTGGACAGCATGAGGGAAGAAATCCTTTCCCTGGATGTGCTTTTGTTTAAAGCCAGGAATGATGTGACAGCTGGAGACAGCATCTGGACTTTGAAGAAGCTAAGGTGAGAGGACAGGGGTAGAAGGTGGACAGGGAGGTGCAGTGAGTGTGTGATAGATCTAGTTTGGACATGAGGAAACGCCACAGGTCTGTGATGAGAGCAAACACCGAACTGCTGTGGTGACTCCGGGAGCTTCCTTTGTTTACAAGACCCTTGTATATTGAAAACGTTATTTTAGAAAGGCATAATTGAAGTCTAGTAGGCACTTGCTTTGCAAGCATAATTGCTGGAAGTTTGTCCCTAGAGATGGCAGCTGTTTTTTAAAAAGTCTCAAGACAGAGGATGTCTGAACTGATGCAGACAGAGAGGGTTATTGGTGCAGCTGAGCTTCAGACTGGAGACTTCAGACTTCTGGAGGCTGCTGGGCTTAAAGCGGGTGTATTGAGCAGCTGTCGAGCGAGCAAAGAGAGAACTTTACTCTTGGCAGGGATGGTAGGCAGCGGGCAGCAGAAACAACTCTAAATCCACGGCGGTGGACGTTACCTGGCACTGCGTATTTTCTCTTCAAAACCCGTTTTGCCTCCCGTGAATTTTTACTGAACGGTGTGTGATCCTTCAGAAAAGCCGGGGGCGGCACGGCTGACGAGCCAGCCTCTTTAATTGAAAATGCCCTTCGGAACCGGGTCAAAGCGAGTAGCAACCGGCGGTGCCTGAGCAGCCGCGTCGCTGCG